AACAAAAATACTTGGGTTTGTGACTGATTTTCCTCATTATAGAGAGTATTTGAATCACCAACGCTTAACATAAAACAGTAAACATACTATTGATGTAATTATAAAAATATGTAGTGTTATCTAGATTTACACAAGTTTATGCTAAAAAAACATCTCCAACTTTTGTGTTTGAATTTTTTTTTAAACAAAACCATGTTATTGTATTAAAGAGTTGGTTTCTATAGAAACTTAGATAAAAGACAAATGTATAACATCAAACACAATATCATGTCAATTATTATTTTTAACCTGAACCTGTTCTGCTTCATACAAAAGTAGTCAATGCATCTTTTACTTAACATGCAACTGACACGGAGGGCTATGACTAACCTAAATCTTTCACTAAGATATTACATGTTCTTTAATCTCAACATATGTCGTAAGAACTTTCAATTTGAAAAATTCAAGTTCCTTTCGAGTTGGGCTTCATTAACTAAATTTCTCTGCAACAAAAATGAACGAATTTTTAGAATCGATATGGATTAAAATAAACACTATGTTTTAACAAGTGATTCAAACGTCACATGGATGAAGATTTACAAAACTATATTCATAACATTTCAATGTTAGAATTAAGGTAGTCTAATCAGAATAATATACAATATTAGAGAATCATATCATGTAATAACATATCACTAATGGTATGTATCCAATAGATATAATCAGAACAATATACATTCTTATGAAATTAGCTATAAAATAACTCATTATTAACATATACTATCTTTATAAGAACCATACTTTATTTAATAATATCTAATATTTTTTAATACAACCTGTTTCTTACATGTTAAAAAGAGCATATTTAAACAAAAGTGTGGTAAAATGCATCTCTAACAATTTGTGTTTAAAGAAAATTACATATTTTAACAAAACTAAGGTAAATTTAATAAGATTAGTCAATATTGAATTATTTTACTGCAATTCTAACTCATATTTTGGAAGTATAATCATCCTTAAAGAGGAGTTTATTTATGGGAAGGAGGGGGTGATACATCAGAATCTTTATTCATCCAGGACTTTCATCGAACAGGTAGAATGCATGTATAGTTTAAGAAAATTTTCTCAAGAACAATAATTGATTTCAATCAATCAAAATGATGTTTGATTGTTGAAATCACAAATCATACATATATGAAATGGAGAAATCACTAGTAGCTTGATGATTCAACCAGTTCATGTTACAAGGTTAACAATTGAACTTGTTACATGCAAGTAACAATAAAAGCGATGAAAACTCAAGGAAGAAAACTCAAACCTTGATCAATTGATGAAATCGTGATGTAGAATACAAATCACAGTTTGAAAGATCGTTAGCAATTGTTGAAGATGAAGATAAGCATAAATCAACTGAACACTTGAACCTCTACCTTAGATGAAATCGGTCATCACTTAGCTAAAATCAGTAACAATCTTGTAATTAATTGTTGGTGTCGATAGATAAACATAAACCTTAATCACTCAAATTATCAATTGTAGATGCAGAAGAATGAAGAACATGAACTCGTGAAACAATGAAATCGTGACTTTAAAAGTATTATTTAGCATTGTTCGATCAATGTCCAACTCAAACTAATTATCGGTTGAAAGAATAGATTATTTAAGGAGATAGAAGATCGATCAGATTGAATTGAAGAACAAGGAATGTTGATCCAACGAATATCTTGGTAGAAGAATCAAAGCAGATGATTTCTTGATGACGTGAAGATAACACTAACATTATATCAGATCTGATCATATTAAATTTTACCTAGGGACTAATCTACCCCTTATTAACTAATCAATTAGATTAATTAGGGTTAATCACGTTTTTTCATGAGCCACAAGATCAGTTTTGATCAAAGGTCAAGATTTGGTCCCCATGTCTCACAAAATATAGGTGGTCTCAAATGAACCTCTACCTATATATATATATATATATATATATATATATATATATATATATATATATAGGTTATTCTATTCAAAGTAATTATTGTGTTATTGTATGCATAAATATGGGTCAATCAATTTTACTTATTTTAAGAAACTGAATAATTCATATTATTAAATTAAAGATAATTAGAAAATATCATCTAATTTCATTTTAAGGGTATTTTAATCAATTAACATAAATTTAAAAAAGAAAAATTGCATATTTTAAGGGATAATTGATTTTATTAATTTTAAAAATATGATTGTAGTGATAATAATTCTCGGATATTCTGACAGAATATATTTATCAAAAATAAAAATATTCTTGAACCATAAAATAATAAAAATATTTTTGAACCTATTTATTGATCATAACTTTAAAAACTTTTTGCAAAATAACAAATTCTTAAACCATCAATTGAAGAATAAAAACAAAAATTACATTAATTCTTATAGAATACGGGTAACAATTGCTAAGAATTACATTTATTGTTAAAGAATATAACTAAAAAAACTTTTAAATCGGGAAGAAAAACATCAAAATCTAACAAAGACGCTAATACATTCTAAAAGAATAATGTTGCTAAGAATCACTTTCAATTTCATGGTCCATTCTTCAAGCATCAGTTGCTTCTGTGGAAACAAATTCAATGCATAAATCAGTGAGAAAATATTCATATTCCATTCCAACAGAATTAGAATTCGTGATTCCATTCTGATAGAATTAGAATTCAAGATTCAGTTACGGTATGCATTTTGCTGGAAAAATATCCAAAGTAAAAAAACAATTTAATGAGAATGATATGGTTAGACATTCCAAGATAGAAACTCGTTCATTTTCATCATCAATATCTAACTCTCCAAGTTCAGAAATTAGTTGATATCGGCTCTCAATCACCTGTAGAAGTAAAATCCAATTTAAAAGTAAGAACACAGAAATAAAGCTACTATTGCATTACAGAGAATACCACAACAAAAACAACGAAACCCCAAATCCCTTAGGAATGGTGTAAAAGGGAGGGTGGATATGGCCCCAAAACCTTCAAATCAACTAAAACTATGGTGGGAAATTTTATGTAACCCTCAACATTTCACTTATAAGGGAACTATCAGTTCACACCATAACTAATGTGAGGCAAATGACTAATTCCGACCTATAAATAATTACAGGAACCCTGTAGAACTAGTCCTTATTTCCCACTTCTCACATAAAACTCCAATTCCGATAAAAGTTAAAGTAATTGCATTGCCCTAGTTGAATATGAGGATGGTGAAACAATAGATTATGTGCAGTTAAAAGTTCACCGACCTAAATCGAACAATCAAACAACCAAACAACCAGTCACGCAGATTAGGGTTTACCAAATAGGTCTCCTCATCCGAATTTGATCAAATTTATTAACTAGCTAGAGTAATTTGTTTTTGTAAATTCGAACAATCAATAACGGAATCTGTAAATGATAGCAGTATGCGGTGTGCTTTTGCTCCGAATGAAATGAGACGAAACCCACACAAATTTTACGAATTAAAGCTGGAGTTCAAAAACAAAATATACAGATATTACCAGGTGAATGGGGCGAAGGAGAAGAAGGAGGGGTTTCTAGCACCCTATCTTGAAGGGAAAGAAGAAGATCGAGATCATCATCGTGTGTTGACATGATGGATTCAATGTCTTATCTGGTTCAGACGAAGAAGGCACTGATAGCAACAATAGCATCGCAGCAGGTAATAGAGGTGGGCTACATATGATCATAACAATGGACAAAGGTGATCACTCATCGAGCCCAGAAGGAAAACGTCAACGAATGATCATCGAGAGCCTGATTATCATAATCCCACCAGAAAACGATAGTGGGTCGTGTATTCGATCTTGTTCACTTTCAGTGGTTTTAAAAAGCTGACGATGGATGGAGAAAACCTAGGTAGCCGAAGTCGATGGTTACCATAATTATAGGATATTATTTGTGGAAACTAATTATCAAATTACATATTTACCCTTATTTATTTATTTAATTATTTGTTTTTATTTTAAATTTTGATTGGTCTACATTTATGCATACAATAACATAATAATTACTTTAAATAATTGAACCTCTCTCTCTCTCTCTCTCTCTCTCTATTTTATATATATATATATATATATATATATATATATATATATATATATATATATATATATATATATATATATATATATATATATATATATATATGGTATGTGTTATTTTAGGAACTCACTAAGTTATGTGCTTACGGTTTTATGGTTATGGTTTCAAGTACTTCTAGTTCGAAAGTGAATGACCTAGCTTGATCGCAACGCATCCACCTATGTTTCTGTACTTCATGATTTTTGCATTGTACTCTGATAACTATTTTCACTTTGATATACTTTTGAATGGTTGATAAGAATAAATGGTGTTTATGGGTTGAATTAAAAATGAAATTTTTACCTTATGATTTTTGGGACGCTACAGACATTCTCCCCTCCACCACCGCCAATGGCAACTCCAGCCTCCTCCGACAAACGACAATTTTTAAGTAATGAAGCATATGATTTTGTGTTTTAGACTCGTCACTGGTGAGCGGTAGTGTGTTAGGATTCTTTTGAAAAAAAAATAAAAAATAAAAATAAAATAGTCAATCTCTAACAACCTACACACTCTTTCTCTTCTCTTATCTTGCTAAGCTTTCGGTGACCCATCTTGGGTACACACCCTTACCACCCACTACGGGACGATGTTCAACTCATGTTAAGAGTTTGGCGCACCCACTTCGTGTAGTCTTACGTAAATGGAATAAAATTTTGGATTTATTTTAATGCAATTATTTCTTTTCACAAAGAGTATCGAACTCTTTCTTATCATTTTCCGATAAAAACACATGTAGTAAACTAGTTAAAGCATTTTAAAATTTATTTAAAGAAGTTTGATACACAATTTGCTTCTGAACAATTTATTTGTATTTGTTTCCTAAATAATTTAGTTGAATCCTTTCGACATTCTTCTGAATTCTGAGTGTAGAAACCGTAAGGACTCGGTGATGTCAAAATGATCTACACAAACAAAAGGGTTCTTCATTATCTTACTAAAGGTGACGGCTTTTTTCTATCCTCTTCTTCCTCATACCTCTCGATACTTCCTCATCGTTTTCCGCATGATGGCGATACTGGATCAAGATACCTTTCGCATCAAAAGATTTTGTTTCTAAGAAATAATTCCACAGTTGCCCAAATCACTAAGCTCAACGACGCCCTCCATCTGTTTGATCAAATGCTTCACAGGCAACCTCGACCATCAATCTTCGAATTTACCAAGCTGATCACTGTTATTGCCAAGATGGAGCATTACTCAACCGCGGTTTCTCTTTTTAAGCAAATAAATTTAATGGGTATTCCGAGTGATTTATTTGCAATCAACATCTCTATCAACTGCCATTGCCACCTTAACCAAGTGAAGTATGGTTTTGCTTTATTAGCCATCATCGTAAAGCAAGGGCATCCACCCAATGTGACCACCTACAGCACTCTCATAAACGGGCTAGTTCTAACGGATCATGTTTTTGAAGCTGTTGAATTATTCAAGAAACTGCTCAGAGAGAAGCTTTGTGAACCTAATCAAGTTATGTATGGAACTGTTATCAACGGGCTTTGTAAAGTAGGCCACTGTAGCAGGGCTCTTGACTTGCTCAGGTTCATGGAAGCAAGCTCATGTAAACCCTATGTAGCACAATACAACACAATCATCGATAGCCTCTGCAAAGACAACATGATTTGATGCACTCCAACTGCTTGCCAAAATGACTGAAAAAGGCATCCTTCCAAATATTTACACCTACACCTCCTTGATTCATAGTCTATGCAACTTTGGACGTGAGAACGAGGCTGCAAGAATGTTGAGAGATATGGAGGAACAAGGAATCTTTCCTGGGGTGCATATATTTACAATCTTGGTAAATACCTTTTGCAAGAAAGGATCTGTAAAAGATGCTGAAAATGTCGTGCAATCCATGGTTCAAAGAGGTGTGGATCCGAATGTAGTCACTTATAGTGCACTAATTGATGGATATTGTTTACGTGGTGAAGTAGAGGAAGCTCATAAAGTTCTTGATCGAATGGTGGAAAGAGATCTTGTACCTAATATTGTCACTTATGGAAGCTTGATAAATGGGTATTGCAAAAAGAAACAAATCAATGAGGCCATGAAACTTTTTCAAGAAATCCAAAACAAGGGTTTGATTCCTAATGTTGTTACTTACAATAGTATTCTACAAGGTTTGTTTCATACGGGTAATTGTAAAATGGGTAGGGAATTCTTTAATGAGATGCAAATGAAGGGCAAGACTCCTGATATATGCACTTATAGAATCTTGTTCCATGGAATGTGCAAGAACTTTGAGTGTTCTGATGCGTTGGATCTTTTTCATTCTATGGGAAGATCAAGGTGTGAATTGATGAAAGATGTTGCTTTGTATAATATTTTGATTGATGGTTGTAGTAAATGTGGGAAATTGGATTTGGCAATGGATTTGTTTGATGAAATTTCTTTGAAAGGATTGAAGCTAAATGTTTGGAGTTATACGATCATGATACGTGTACATTGCCAAAAAGGTTTATTTGTTGAAGCGAAAGAAATGCTTATGAAAATGGAAGAGAATGGTTGTTTGCCAAATAGTGTGACGTATAATGTTATAATTCAAGAGTTTTTGAAGCAAAATGAATGTAGAGAAACTGAGGTTCTTTTGGAGGAAATGGTTAACAAAGGTTTCTCCCCTGATGCTACTACTTTTTCCATGTTACTAAGCTTAATCCCGAAGGTGGGCCAAGATTCTCCTATGCTTGCTATTCTGAAGCTCAAAGGCATTAAAAGGAGAGATGATATATAATATCGATTATATATTATTCAAAATTTCAATTATCGTTTAAGAAATTAAATTTAAGATCTTGCTTTGAATTTGTGACAATGGAAAATTTTGGTAAAGGATGAGGAAACGAAAACGGTCATTGTGTAGGACGTTGACAAAACGAGAGAACGGTTTTTGTAATTATCGACGGAGTTTATATTCGTCGCATAAAACGTATTCTTCGTTATGGAAGTTTACATGGAATTTACTTCCCCGTTTCCTCCTTGTAATTTATCTATCTGTACCTGGCTTTATCCATCACCTAACCACCAAACTCCTCCTCAAAAACGTGTCTAAAATCCCACAATGCCACGTCTCCATACAATCCACGTGGCACTTGAACCGAAAGCCTTACTGTCCTATTATATAAACCCTCCCTTCAATAGCTTCAAGCATTAATTAACTACTCAGATGGAGGCTTGTGTTTGTATCTCCAGCCTGCATGCACCCCAACCCCCACAGCTACAAATCTCAAACTTCGTTTCCCAACCAGGAAAACACCACCGGAGGTTGAGCCTCCGGCAAGGTTTCCGGGGGCAGAAGGGGCGTGTGGAGAGTGGTGGAGGAGATTGGAAGATGAGGCCAGCGAGCAAACGAAAGGAGGAGATGAGTGAAGACAAATGGGATAGGGCTGTGGAGGAAAGCAAAGAAGATGATGATGTAAATGAAGAAGTGGAGTTAATGGAGATGGAAGCGATCATGGGGGAAGATGATGGAAAAGAACCAATGGATTATAAAAGAAGAGCAGGAATTTTCCACAAGAGTTCACAAATGTTTCAGGCAATCAGGGATAAACAACATCAACATCATTGTGCCTAAAAATGTAACCAAACTTTTACATATATCATTACATAATTGTATTTGTATTTCAATTCCTATCCGGAAACAGTGTTTTAAAACTTGCAATAAAATCTAGTGCATACCATGGCTCCGATTACTTAATAAAGAAATAGTATTGAATTTTTTATTTAGTAATGTTTTTTTAGATGGATGCAAGTCATGCAACCCTTCCACCGAGTAACTTCATCTATTATCTATACACACACGTACACAGCATCATTATTAACCCCATGGTCTCTATCGAAGCTCAAGGACTTTTATCGAGCACCTTCCGTGCGTAATTGACAAGTCCACTTAAGGCCCTACACTTCTTTGTAAGTCAAAAAGAACTTACACATATGAAACAGTAAAAAAAAAAACATGTATAAACACAACAAACTGAAGAAGAATTCGACTTAAAACAGCATATTACAAGAGCAGAAAACAGCAAGGGAAAGCAATAAAGAAAATAAAGTTCGTTTATGGAGGGAGGTACAAGGATACAAAGTACAAACTAAATGTCTGTATGGTAAAACCTAACACAACGGCCTCAGATAACATAAAGGCACGGTCGAACACCTACATCTTACAATAATCGGAAGAAAAAAAATCTAAAAAATAGAAAAACTGAAACATTAAATCGTACCTGACAAATGGCTGATTCCATTAACAGAACTTCCAGTGATTATCGCAGTTTACACAGGTGACAAAAGTGGTCATGGGTTCATCAGCACTCCGAGTCTGCAACTGGTAATAAGTGCACTTCCGTTTCCCACATCTCCCACATCTGAACTGATCCGTGGTGGCTTTTGGTGGGGCCCCACGTTCACACTCCATTAAAGCTTTCTCTTTTATTTTCACATTCTCCATTTGTCTTTCAGTGCTCGCCATCTCTTCAGGTGTCAATTCAAGAACCCTTTCTGGTTTCACATGCCCAAGCAACACTTTCCTTCTGAAATCAGGGTTTTTAGGATCTTTAATATTGAACATGATCGATCTGTATTTGAACTTTTGTGCCCCATTTGATCTCCCCCATTTTTCAAACATTGCAGACTCCACTGACACAGCGACTCTGTAAGGATCTGAAGCTTCCACTTCATCTCTCAATTCATCTTCAACTTCACCAGAAACTTTGCATAATGCCTCTGAAAGAAGCTCACGGATTTTGTCCCTTACAGGATCCTTGCAGTAAACAAGGGAAGTTAGTTTTGGTGGGGCCATGACATTATTTGGTTTTGGTCGTTTATTTTCTTCTTTGGTGACACTGACAGTGTGTTCTTGCTTTTCAACCTTGAGAATGTTGACTTTTTTGTCTTGTGTGCTGCTATGAACGTGTTTCTCAATCTTGATACTTTCAGTCTTTGAGACGTTCTCGATCTTGATGGAGTTTGATTTCTGGATTTTCTTGTTGGAAGCCTCTGCTCCATTTTCAGATTTTATGATGTCTGAACTTCCGTTCTTCTTGTTCTTTAATGTTTCTTCAACGATTATGTTTTTCCATATCTCAACCATTTCAGCAGCTAATGACTGAATCTTCTTTCTGGGGTGTTTTGTTAGTTGGCGAAGCCGCTTCCCCACCTGAAACAAACAAATAATTTACAAAAAGAAAGTCTTCAGATTTTGTAAATTGAATTTGTTTAAATGCAATTTGTTTCATTACTACTGCATATGTTGAAAGCTTGAGACTTTGAATGTGAACTTCACATATCAGCATAGCAATTTAAGAATACAGAAAAAGCTGTATACTAGCAAGAACTCAGAATTCACAACAGTGTGCTTCCCTAATCAACATAAGCAGAGGAAGGTAGCTAATTTTCAAATTAGGTTACAAGAATTAACAATAACAAAGTCTTCTATCTTCTTCCATAAAAGATAAATTAAAAACCTAAAAACCTCCAAAACCAGTTTTCTTACGGTGCTTAAGCTTCTAGATTTTAGGAAAGACGCTCGCCTTCAAAGTGAAACCTAATTAACACGCCATATACTTACTCCTGACTTGATTTTTTTTACTCCGTGTAACGAAAATTGTTCTCTTTGTTGCAGTTGAGTATCTGTCTTATCTTTTCGATGAATTAGAAATCCAATAGCTTCTCAAGTGTTTTATTTTTTGAAAGTGTCAACAATTTTAAGAATGCCAATGGTCGGAAGTAAGGAAAAGGATTCGAAATGTCAAAAACCTAGGTTTTCAGAAGCGAAATCATAATTCGCCCCAAAAATTAGAAAACAACAGCACATATTCACATCCGTGATATACAATCTCGATTAACAGTACAAAACGAAAACAAATTTACTGTACTTGATGACAAAACATAATTTACCTGCGTGGAAACGAGAACTTGATAGTTAACAGGGAATTTTTTAAGGGCTTTCAAGGCGTCTATACAACGATCTTCCTCCGGAGAAGAATCTGCACCGGCGCCGTCAACAGCCGCAGCGTCTGCCGCTTTCTTGGCCGCCTCGAATAGCTCTTTCAGCTCCGCCTCCATCGTCTACCTCAAAGAGAAAGAGATCGCTTCAAAATCAAAACAACAGAAGAGAAAAAGAGAGCAACAGAACCGTCCGGTTAAGAGTTTTGATGAAGCGGAAATGGATACGGAGGAAATCTTGACCGTTCTTCCGCTCCTGGGAAAATTTAATCGTGCGGTACGTGAGTAAGCGTTGAAGATTTTGTCCGGGTTTTGACGGCTTAACAGTAATTAGATTTTAGAGTAATTATTTTTTTAGAGAAAAAATAATAATAATATTAATCAATTTCCAAAATTTAAACAAAAAGTTAAGTTTTTTCCTTCAAAACTAATAAATTACATGTCAAACCAGTTTGTCCCAAATCCCGATTCCATACCGGTACCATATCGAATCTGGTACCAAATCGTACCGAATTTGAAAATATGGGACGATACTCGATACTTCAAATTCATGAAATTCAGGATTCGGTACCACCGGTACCGGTACTAGTACCGAAAACCGGTACCATTCCCGATACCGATACCGGTAAGGTTAATTTGGTTCGGTACTCGAGATTTACTTTTGATAAAATTCGGTTTTTGGGAAATCGAGAACGGTACGGATCGGTACCGGTTTCGTCTCACGCTCATCCCTAATCCGACCTAAGAAACAGCTGTTGGACATATAAAGAAATCCAAAACGAGACGTTTTGGAATAGGATTGAACCTGTAAATTGGCATGTATAACCAATGAATTCGCATGTTTGACCGGTAAAAATGTCTAAAATATTTTTGAAAAAAAAAATAACTTGTGAAATTATTATCCGCTTTTCATATTTTTATGAAAATAATACTTTTTTTTTGGCTTTTTTTTGCCAAAAAAATAATACTTTTTTTATGAAAATAATACTTTTTTTTCATAAACTCCTTATCTCTTAACCTAACCCTAATATCTTCAGCCTCCGCCCCTCTAAACCCTAGAAATCGTATTATACCCTAACCCTAACCCTAATATATTCATGGTGGCATTTTGAGTTTATGGAGTCCATTTTTGGAGTGTTTGGCTCATTTTTAAGAAGGTGGAGTTAGATGCACAGATGGAGATTAAGAAGAAGCTTATGGATTTGGCTTTTGTGACTCATTTTTAGCTTGATGAAGGTATAAAGCTCTGAACTTGACCATTGAATGATTAGATCTAATATTTTGAGTTTTTGGATCTTTTTGGTCCCAAGAATGGAGCTTTATGGTTCCAAATCCGTTTTTAGGCTTGGGGTTGCCACCCTTAATGCTATTTGAGTCCCTAAGACAGAAAGTTGTCATCTTGATGGTCTTAATGGGTTCATGCTTGAGTTAGGGTCACTTTTATGGAAGTAGAATGCCATTTTCGGAGTTTGGGTTTGTTTGGGGCATGCAAAGTCACCAAGTCAGTGTATGAGTTTAGAAGTTAAGTATAGCTCAGATCTATGATTTGGACTTGTTGGATCAAATATTAAGCACTTAATGGATGTTGTGCATGAGCTGTTTGTACGTTGGGCGTATTATGTAGTACGCTGCACGTATAATCCATTTGCTCAGTACACTAAGCATACAGAAGAAGGTACGTTGGGCGTACGCTCTCAGGAGGACTTGGGCCTTAGTGAACTTTAGACCTTTAGGCCCTAATGGTTTTGAGCTTGGACTTGCGATTTGTTGGATCTGAATGTATCTTGGGCCAATATTGGAATAGTTGGGCCTATTGGGCCTTATGGCCCAATATAGAAATAGACTTCACATTTATGGGCCTCGGTTTCGGCCAATTCTTGGAATAGGTTGTTGTGGGCCTTTGTGGACCAATTGGGTCAGGATTATTGACTAAGGAGAATATTGGGATTTAGTATAAGGTCCATTAGAAAGGTTTAGGCCCAATTTGAAAAAATTGGGCCATTAATGGTTTAATAGACATTATAATGTTGGGCTTATGTTTTGGGTTTGGGCCTTAGTTATGGATCATATTGGGCTAGGGGTAAAATGGTTATTTTACCCTATGTGTGGATTAAGGATTATGGTATGGGGCCCAATTGCTAATTTAGGTATATTGATTGGTAGTGGCAACTCGGGAAGCTGGCGGTGCAGCAGCTAAGGATTTCTTCAGGAAGCTTTTGCATTCGAGGTGAGTCTTCTCACCATACCAATGGGTCTAAGGCACCAAGGCTGACCCATTTTATGTTATGTGGTATGATAGTTAGATTTATGCTAGGTGATATGCTAGTAATTATATGATGTTTGGTATGCTAGTTGTCTTTGTGATACTTACATGGAAGACCCCAGGGGAAACCCGTGGTATTGGATGTAAGACCATGTGGGGTAGCCCATGGTAGTCCTAGGTAAAGACCATGTGGGGTAGCCCATGACATTGGATGTAAGACCATGTGGGGTAGCCTATAGCAGTCCTAGGTAAAGACCATGTAGGGTAGCTCATGGCATTGGATGTAAGACCATATGGGATAACCCATGGCAGTCCTACGTAAATACCATGTGGGGTAGTGCATGGCATCCTTACAAGTTTTTGTATGCATGGCTTATGTGTTATATGTAGCTTTTATAGCTAGCCGGAAATGTGATATAGGTAGCTTTTATAGCAACAGGATATGTGATATGTGATTTGTGTGTATAGTATGCTCTCGGAAACTCAATAAGCTTTGTGCTTACAGGTTTTGTTTATGGTTTCAGGTATCATCGTTTTGGAAAGGAAGGGCTCGAATTGATCACAGTGCATACACCTATGATTTCCGCAATGAATGATTTTGGGATGAACTCTGATATATGTTTTACTTAATGATGATTTGAATTGTTTAGAATAAATGGTATCAATGTTTTAGCTATATTAAAAATGAAATTTTTACCTTTGATTTTTGGGTCGTTGCATTCTTATTATCAAATTTTATAGTTTATGTGTTTATTAATGCGGGTATTAGCCAACCCAAAGGTAGGCTGATATTTGGCTGAATAAACATATATGTGGTGATAAACATGTGGTGATTTTTTGGTTCCATGTGATTAATTAATCAATCCAAAGAGGGGCTTGTTACTTGACATGGTTTATTGTCAACGTTTATCTCTAAAACAATGATATCTCTTGCAAGTTACTATTACTGTCCAAAGACTTGATATTAATGTTGTGTTGATACCTAGTAAAGATGTCATAAAGAATAATACCATGGTTCCCATCGTCCTCGTAATCTTCCTCGTCTTGACTGGTGATAGTTCATCATGTTCCAACTCCCGATAGTCTTCTTCTTGAATTTATTGTGGATTAGTGAGCATGAAAAAATAGATTTGCTTATGTTCTCAAAACAACAAATTTGAATTATGGTATTATAATTGCTAACATTGATCACATTTATAATTCATTTACTTAATGAGATTAACTTTAAGGAATGGAATGAGGGCATTATGTTAGTTCTCAGTTGCATGGATAGTGACATTGCATTTTGGATAGAGCAACATTCTTTGAGGATGTTGAGTTTTGAGGAGAAACAAGGTTAAAACATTGTTCTTAAGGAGGAATCAATCTTGATTCCTATTATTGCTTTCGATAGTATACAGATTATAAATTAGTGATCGACAATGTTATTCAATATCCTATTCTGAATACACAAACTCAACATCCTCAATTTATTATGTCTTTTGGTTTTAAGGTAAATACAGTTAATGATTTTGTGTATCACATATTAAGTGGGAGAAAATTTATGTTTCTGGTTTTGGGCAGATATCTATGCAACCCAAGTTTGGATCATAAGAAAGCAACCAAATGGACTTTGAGATATCTATACATAACAAAAGGCTATATGTTCAACTATAGGAAATCAGATGTTTTGGAGATCATTTTTTATTAAGAATATTGCAACAACCCAAAAATCAAGGGTAAAAATTTTATTTTTCAATGCAATCAAAACGTATATGACTTTAAATCCAAACATTCCAAAAATATGATTAATTAAAACATTCATCAGAGTTCATCCTAAAACCATATATTGCGAAAACACGGGTGTGTGCACTGCAATCAAGCTGAGCCCTTCCCAATGATACCTGAAACCATAAACAAACATGTAAGCACGAAGCTTAGTGAGTTCCCCAGAGCATACCCCACACATAATCCACATATCATATTAGCTATACAAGCTATCTCTACCACATACCACATATCCTGTTAGCTATAGAAACTATCTATGCCACATAATATTAGCTATTGAAACTATCTTTACCACATATCACATATCACATTAGTTGTAAAAGATATCTCTACCAAATAACATTACCTATAAAAGCTATCTCAACCATTAGCCATAAAGGCTATCTCTACCATTAGCCATAAAGGTTATCTCTACCATTAGCCATAGAGGCTATCTCTACCACATATCACGACATAAATATACTACACACCTCTACCCAACAAGTATACCAACTATCATAAAATGAGCCGACCTTGGTGCCTTAGACCCATTGGTATGGTGAGAAGACTCACCTCGCACTACTGAAGTCCCACGGATAAACTCTAGCTCTGGTTGACAGGTTCTCGAACTGTCAATCATCAAAACGACACCCAATTAATAATCGGGTTCCAATGCATAACCACAACTCCATACTTGGGGTAAGAGACAACTTTACCCTAACTTAGCTTTATTCAGTCCAAGGCCCAATCCAAAGGCCCACAAGTCAAACCATGGACCAAAGCCCAACATATGGTCTAATTTTCCAAATTGGGCCCAAATCTCTATGTGGACTTATTTTAAGGCCCATCCAAATTATTCTAATCCAAACTCTTGGTATTCCCATGGCCCAATATCACATAATCATAAGGCCCAATTATGGCCCATCTATGGCCCAATTTTCCAAATTGGGCCCATGTCTCTCACATGGGCCTCACCCTAAAGCCCATCAATAGTCCAATCACCAAAGCCCAAGAGGAAGTCCCAAGTGAAATTAGGGTTTTCTCATAAAATCACAATTAGGGTTAAGTGTTCCTACTTTAACCCATTAAGGACTTAATCCATTAAGTCCAATATTGTTTTAAGTTAACTTGCACATGATTATTAATTATTATTTTAAGTTTAATAAATAATTCTCGTGTGGTCCCGATAAATCCCAAAATTAGGGTTTCATGG